CGGCGGCCGGAGATACGGGATGAATCCCGGAGCGCTCGGAGAGCCTCGAGTGACAAATGAACCATAAGTCTCTTAATAAGGTTAAGGGCTCAGTTGGCTTGGGAGACGCGGGCGGTGATTCTGTAGGCGAGTGGGGATCCAGCTCCTTATCTCTTCCTATCGTGGACTTTCCTGGTGGCATCGGCTCGCTGGATGGGACGGCGTCCCCCGTCATCTCCCGTTGGAGATCCATCGTGCCTCCGCGTGAGGAAGAGCCAAGGCAAAACGTGCTTATTTTGGGAGGCACGAGGGAGCTGGCGGGCGGGCAATGAACCTGCCGTAGAGCCCGGTACCCACCCCGATGCTCCAGTGGGAAGCACGGCATCCTCCCGTGCGTGGAGCTGCCCCAGCCTCCTTTCACGGAGCTGGGAGTGCTGTTGTCACCAAAACGAGGCAAAATGCCGAGGGACGGGAAAACCTCTGCTTGCCTGGTCTCCCAGGCATCCACCTGCAGGATTCACTGGCCGGCTGGGGGTGCAGGCAGGCTCTTTGCTGACCGGCAGCGATGGTTCCGGCTACTCCAGCCTTCGGAGAGGGCAGAAAGCCCTGTTAGTGAAACGAGGCCGTGCTCTGCTCATGAACAGGCGCGCAGAGCTCGCATGACTCGAGCCTGCATGTGTTTATAAGCCCCTCTGCTGCGCTGTTGGAAGCAGCCGAGCATTTTTTTAGGCTCCTTCATTGCTCGTCGGTTCCAAGTATCCCTCTCCAAGCAGCTGGAGAGCATCAGGATTATACGCTGGGCTGTAGCGAGTGCTTCCAAAGAGTTAATAAAAGAGGCTGGAGGGGATTTGTGGAGTCTTAAAATGCATTTTCTGAGGAGTGAACAGCCCTTCGCTGCTCAGCAGCTGAGGACGAGGGTTTCATTTCCACGTGTTACGGGCTGCTTTGGTGCGGCGCGGGGAGGGGGAGCGGCCATTTCAAATACAAGATTTTTGTTTTCTTGTGTGATCATTTTGAGAATCGAAATGTCAATTAAGGAGCAACATTAATCACAGGGCAGGCTCTGCAGCTCGCCTTCAGCCTTGAAGGAATGATTTCCTTTCCGGATTTATCCTATGGAAACACCCCAGGTTTGCTTGGAGCCACGTGTTCGTGGGGTGAGAACAAAAAATATTTGGGTAGGGCTTGGGAAAGAGCTAATAGGAATTGGAAGAGTTAAAAAAAAAGATGAAAGGGAAAAAAATAAGCAAGGTTTTGGGAGGGCTCTTCATCCTTGTGCTTCAAGGCATGAGCTGAACTTCAGCTGGGTGAAGAGGAAACTGTTCTTCGGGTCAGATTGTCTTATATCTGCCCTCGAGCCCGGTGCCGGGGAGCTGGCGGCGCTGCCTGGGCCTGGGAGCGCTCCACCACGTGTGGACGGTGGAGTCCAAAGAGAAGTCACGGATGCCTCGTCGTTGGAAGTCTTCGAGGTCAGGTTGGACAGGGCTTTGAGCAACCTGATCTAGTGACAGATGCCCGGGGGGTTACCACCTACGAGCATCTCTGGCCTCCTCACCGAGCTGATTTCACGCGTGGGGCGTCCTATGAGCCGGCTGGGAGAGGTGAGGTGCTGTCCCGTGGTTTGCCTTTCGGTTGGCTCTGGTTTTGGAACCTGGTTTCTGCCAGGAGCCGGCGGTTTGGGGAGGAAGAAGCTGTTCAGAAATAGTCAGCCACCCTCTGCCTCCCAACCCGCACGCTGGGGGTTGTCTCACCCATTTGGGGATAGAAACAGGTCATGGAGATCCGAGCCTTCTCCAAGCAAGACTGGGTGGGCTGAGCTGCTCCAGCCCTCCAGCACTGTGTGTTTTCTCGATGTGGAAGCAAAATAAAATACCTGTTAAAGTGGGCACAGAATCCAGGTGCAAGTTCGGGAGCTCCAGAAAACAACTGATAAGCACCTTGCTCCCACCACGTGTTCCTTCCTGCTCACCTCTCCATCCTCCAGCCTCTTCCCATACCCCACGAGCAGCGCAAGAACTTCACTGCTCCCGTTTTATCTCCGCTTGAACATCTGTTTCGGATGCCCACAGCTGCCTCCGTGCTCTTCTCCTCCTCCAAAATGACCTCCCTGCAGGAGGAGATGGAGCTGAGGAGATGTGTGTCTGCTGTATTGTGGATGTCCCCCACTTGGCTTCAGTTCCCTTTGTTTTGCAAACTTAAAGAAATTCTGCTTGGTTGAGACATTCCGTCCTTTGGAAGAGTTGAGACGCGCAAACTTGTGCTGCAGGAGCTGAATTTGCTGCGTTCGATTCTCTCCGTGAGCCTGGGTTTAGGAGGATATTCTGCTTCTCAGGGCTCTGGGGTTCAGATTTGATGGGAAGGATACGGGGGGAAAGAAAACAGCTGGTTAGTCCGTTCGAAATTGTAATATTGATGCCTGCTGCTCGCGGGGCACTTCTCATCAGCAGCGTTGGCTGATCATTTAATGCACGAAACGCCACTGTAAAGGGAAAACAAGCTCGTGCCGTGTCG